GCAGGGATCATATGCCTTCACAAACTGTCAGCTTGCTGCATATTTCTAGCGTCTTTCTGCTTTTCTTCAGCATACTATAGTGTGACACAGCAGTACAAAAAAAGTAGGACTTAAGAAAGATAGTGTCTACTTTAGATAACCCCCACACTTTAGTAAAACTTTTTTTTACAGAGTTTTTAAAGGTTATAAGATGACTAGAATAAGCCAGTTTTTCAAAAGATAGAAAAGGGCAAACTTTAAACAACTAAGAAGAGCTTTGGCAGATAGTTGCAGGGGGAAAGGACAGGCAGTTTTGTTTAAAACATCTGCCTCTGATCTGCACTTATAAACATCCACCTTCTCTGGCCTTTACTTTTGTGTCTGCATGTGTGTTTGTGCATTCAAAAAGCAGGCAAGGAGACAGTATGAGGTGTAGAGTGTGTTTGTTTTTGTGTGTAGTCTGGCACCGTGCCATCCACCTTGCAAAGGCTTTTTTAGATGGACTCAGGGAAGCTTTTTAAAACATCCAGTGAGCAATTTTATTAAATCATCTTATTTATGATTTTTTTTCCCCCCTCAGTCACTCAAGGCCATCTTTGCTTCTGGTATAAGATTGGAATTCTTAAGCCACACAAACCATTACTGTAAACAGCCAAAAAGCTTCTTGAAAGCGATGACAGGAAAAAAAAAGTCTGTATATTTTAGCTGGAAATTTTGTTTGTGGGATTCGTCTGTTTAGAGTTATTGTTTTAGAGATGATACTGGCAGTGTCGGCGCTCAGTTTTCAGTGAAAGGGCAATGTGGGAAGTATATAACAGTGTTTTTTCATCAGCTGTTAAATTAACCCGTTTAATCCCACTGGCAACAATTGTTACCGTTTTAACCCCCTATTACATTAACAAAATTAAGCATATTGTGTGTAGGGGAAGTCTGAGGAATAAAATGCATGCACTTATTTTGCAGGGAAATTGGGGATTAAATGGGAACCATAAAAATCTTTCCATATTTCACCAGGATTGGATTGCCAGACATTGCTACCGTGAGTAGTGTCTGTACCCTGCCTCCCTCTCAGCTTGTTATTTTGTAGCAGATCTATGATGGATATCAATCAGCAGCACGTGTAACACCTGGGGCCCAGGTCTGCCTTTAATGTCTTTATAGTTGGTTTGCAGCCACAGCTGCAGTGATGTGGACGCTGTACCAGTCTATCCTGGTGAAGAGAAAGCTGAGAAGCAAAGTTGTTCAATTACCGCTCGATGTATGTCGCTACCCTCACCTATGGTCTCAAGCTTTGAGTAGTAACCGAAAGAACAAGACCAAAGATATAAGCAGTGGAAATGAGCTTTCTCCAAAGGGTGGCTGACTTCTTCCTTGGAGATAAGGTGAAGACTCCAGTCATTTGAGAATGACCCAGATAAAACCACTACTTCTCTACATTGAAAGGAGCCAGTTGAAGTTGCTTGGCACTCTGACTAGGATGCTTTCTAGGTTGGATGTTCTGGGCATGTCCTACCGAGAGGAGGCCCCGGTGACCCACAACATAAGTGGAGAGATTATATCTCTCGACTGTGTGGCCTGGGAACCCCTCAGCGTTGCCCTGGATAAGCTGGAGGACGTGGCTGGAGAGAAAGAGGTCTGAGGTCTTGTTTGCTGTGGAAGGTTTGTGACATAAATATTAAAAATAATAAAGGAAATTGGATTCAGTTGACTGCAATCTGCAATTTACTGATGTCTAGTGGTGTGATTTTACACACTGTACCTTTAACGTTAGTATTTTGGCAGTCACCATTGCCTTGGTGTTGGGACATAAGTTATATTTAGACCAGAATATGGACTGCTAATGTTTTTGCTATTGCCGCTCCTAGACTCTGGAATAACCTCCCGGTTGATGTCCATACCTCTGATTCTATTCAAGCGTTTAAATTGCGCTTAAAAACCCACCTGTTTAATTTAGCCTTTGAATTAAATTAGTTTGACTGTCATCTGGCTTGCACTACACTATGTTATTGTCATTATACTTGTAATTGTACTATTTGTCCCTTGTTTCTGCCTGCATTGCGGTTATTTTGTGAAGCAATTTGATGTACACTGGTCTTTTAAAATGTGCTATAGAAATAAATTTGATTTGATGATTTGATTTGATTCCATTAAGGATTGTTTAGTGAGCTGCATCCCAAAGACATAGATACAAGCTGATTAGTACTAAGTATCAGACTAATACTACTAACACTGCACTCACAAATTGAAGCACAAACTAGCAATTATTTTGTTCACATGTTTTGATAATTGCATTAAAGTTTTCTTTATTTGTCTAGCTAATGCTGCTACTTCCTATGATTTAAGGAGCACTGACTTCTAGCTGTGCTCCAGTGCCAGGTAACATGGTCCCTAGTGTGCACTAACGTGACCTTTTCATATCACTGCTATCAGGCACAAACACAACCAATCGCTTGTGATTGGAGGTTCAGCAGTTAAGTTAATCTCCTTGCTTCATCTTCTTTGTCCAGTCAGTCTAAGATGTAAACTGATTGCATTATGGTTTAAATGGAACATGTACAGTGTAATATCTCATCCACCAGTGGAAAACGCCATTCCTATGCCAGACATCAGCGCAGACAGATAGTTGTGTGAGAATGAGAGTGTGAAGCTGAATATCCCAGCTAGTGTGTCTTTGCTTCTCTGGGAATGCTCCATTGACTGGCTCAAAGATTAATTTAATTCCCACATTGAGGACCTGTGGGCATTCATCTCTCTAGCTACAATAAACACACTACAGCAACCAAAGCTATGTGTTTGTGTGGCTTGCAGAGGTTGATGGTCTGTTATATAACATTTCTCTTTGGAGACAGAGTTTAGTTGACTGTGCTAGTGATCTGCTGTGCAAGTGTTCAAGGGTAATTAGTTTTAGCTCTTCTGGCTGGTTTCTCGGAATCAGGATGCATTTATTATTATTTTACAAATAACTATGGCACTTCTCTGTAAATGAGTCAATACCTTGAGACTACAGTAGAAACATAATGTCCCATTTGCTGCTTGTTGGTTGTAAAGTTGATAAAAAAATTTAACACACTGATACAAATATTTGAATATTTTTTCTTCACTGACTAGTAGAGCATTGTATTGTGAATTATTTTCTTCAATATCACTAAAACTTTTACAGAGTTACACACTATAAGAAGTTGGAAACATATACAGTATGCCTACTAGCCACATGATTACATATTTATCTCTAGACGTTTATAGTAAAGTTTTTAAAGGAATCTATGCAGGTTAAGCAGCATAGATATAAATGAGTGCACCCCTGTTGTTTCTATAGGAATTAAGTTGCTAATCAGTTGCACTTAATTAACTGATTATCAGCAGATGTGACCCCCAGCGCAGGTCGTTGCTGGAGGTTTGCATATAAAGGCAAACGTTTAGGCAGGTTGTTGGTCTGAACCATTCGGGTGTGTGTCAACACCATCTTCCCAGGGACGTCTCAGTAAATTCACCCTAAGCTCAGACCGTGCAAGGATCAGAGAAATTGCAGAAACCCAAGAGCTCAGAGTCCACAAGCCTTAATTAGCATGTTAAATGTTAAAGTTTATAAAAATACATTTAGAAAAAGAATGAACAAGTATGGCTTGTTTGGAGGGGTTCCCGGGACCTCTTCTCTCTAGCATCCAAAGTGGAGACATTTAAAATCCACAGCACAGTTGTTATGCATTTGCTTTTTTGTTTAGTTTTGTTTTATTTTTTAAGGAGAAAAAAGAAACTTGAACCACCTTCAGCAGGTTTTTAAAAAACAAACAAACAAACAAACAAAGGCTTAAGAAGACAGCAAATTAACGTGATGTAGGAACTTTTGAGCCGATATAGAAAACTACGTGTATGTTGACTACAACTATTGTATTTTACATCTCCGTCATATTTAATTTCATTTTACTGGTCTGAAATGGTCTTAAAGGTCTTTTCTATTATCATTTTTTAAGCTTGTGCAATATTTGGCATAAATAGTTTTCTTCTATAGATTCATCATAATCACCAGAACCACACACATTTCTAAGTCATCTTGGCTTTCACTGCACGTTAAATGCAGAGGTGACATCGTATTTAATATGATGCTGTGAAAATGTGTTGAATTAAACAAAAATCATATGCTTTGTGGCATATAAAGACACAAAATACAAGATACATTTACCATGACCTCTGAGCTGGTACCATGTAATTTCCTCTACTTCCTGGGGGTCATGCAATTTTAGATCTTGTATGTTTAAACAACAGCAAATGGAACACATCTGGTTATAATTATTTATATATTTTATCCCATTTCTGGTGTGTGTTATCTTCAGGAGGTAAACAGAAAACTGTACAGTTATTTTGCTACTGCTGGGTCTTTCAAAGGTCGACAAATCCCCAAGGAAATATTCTTACTAAGAAACTTTCCCTCCTCCTGTCAACAATAATGGATAGTGTTCTTTTTTCAGAGTAGATTTGCACCCAGAGGGGCTGTTTGGGTGATGAGGTAGAGATATTGCATTTCCTTTCACTCTGTAATTGGTCAGCAATGCATGGGACAAAATTGCATTTTGGCTTTGTGATTTCTCCAAAGGGCTGATTAATATTAACAAGCAAAACAGATTCTTTGATGTCAAACTTCAGGTGACCTTTATTTTCTTCTGAGCTATATGGGATGTTGAAATTTATGAGACCATAAATATTACCAAAAATAAATAAAAAAAAATTAGAGACAGCGAGAGAAACAAAACCACCTCCTTCTATATCTTTTGTTCTTTCCTTCTCATTCCTGTTTCTGGATTATATGAAAGTCAGAACTTGCGAGGTCATACTTCTTACATGTTGGTGTTCAATTCTCCTCTATCATCCAGTGACCCGCTGAGCTTGGCATTAAATCACTTCTGTCAGCCAGACGGCTAATAGGAGCCAAGGTTGAAGAACTTTGGCTGTGTTTCTGCAGTAGCGATGAAGAGCAGAAAATGTGCCTTTATAATTTAAGTGTTGTTTTTTATTCTTTCTTGCAGTCTCAGCAGAAGTGCATTGTGATCTTTGCCTTGGTGTGCTGCTTTGCTGTATTGGTGGCCTTGATTTTCTCTGCTGTGGACATCTGGGGTGAAGACGAGGACGGGATCACAGAGGAGAACTGTAGCAAGGATTGCAGGTGAACACTGCTGATCTGTAAACATACAGCTGTAGAACACCCAGAGTGGTTTCCAAACTTTCTGCCTCATCACAAGTTAAAAGCTAAAGCTGATTTTTTTTTTCTTTATTAGAATTGCAAGAAAATTATTTGCAAGAGGTCTGAAAAGTTGGAGAAACAAAAACAAAATTAGGCTGAGAAACACTGCATTCTTTTATGTTGTGAATTATATCAGTAGTTTTTCATAACTATCACATTTTGACCCTTTTGACTTTTTGTCATAAGACCTTCAAGCATTTTTCCTTTCGCCTGTACTTCTCATTGTGTTTGTTCTATTGTATTACATTTCCCATTAGTCAAATATATTGGAAATCTGGTTTAAATTGATAATAAATAGATTTACAGAATTTAAAAGTTACATCTGTTTCCAATGTTTCCACTGATATCTATCTGTGGTGCATCAGCAAGGGTAGATATCATAGTCGGGAAGTTTATTTATGTTTTAAAATTCAGTATGTGCACTGTTGACAGCATTGTAAGGTCACAGGATCTACAGTGAGCTCACAAATCAGGAATAAAGGCTTGCAAAACAGTGCTGCTGCAGCAAGTCCTACAGCCCTGAAATGACGTAGCATTTTTCACTTGGGATTCCCTCATCACAGAGTCAACAGGTTTTTAGGGTTGGGGTTCTAATTTTTTAAGGGCTTTTGATTGGATGCCTGAAACAAGCTCTGTATTTACACAAGCTTCAGAAAGATTAAAAAACAAACAAACAAAAAAAAAAACATCTGCAACAAAACACAAAAGTCAATGCCGCTGTCCTGACCTTTGAAGCTTTTATGATATTTGGTAACAAGTAACTAAACGAGACAACAGAAGTCAAGGACGTGGTCCAGGCTATTCAAAGCATCATGCCAAACACAGAAGTTTAGTGGTGGAGATCAAATTAAATCAATTAAAACATTTTATGATAATCATCAAAAAATGTAAACGTGGCATTTTTGTTTATTTCCCACTGAGCTTATTTTCTGATGTAGTCAAGGCGACTTACAAATTAGCATTTGAAATCATAAATAAAATAAAAAGTAATATAAAAATAATACAATAAAATAAAAATCCCTGTGACATTCTACGCTGATATCACCAGGTGGCAGATGGAAATAACACACACAAAAAGAAACCTCAGAGCTGAATAAAATTTAACAAGCTGTAGTTTGAAAATGAGACATACAGTGATTCCTCTGTTTTTACAGGGTTTAATGTGGATAGGACCAAAATGCTGTACACTGCAGGCAGACTTTCAAACTAAAGAAGCATCAAAATCAAAAGCATCAAAATAGCCAACAGAAGTTTAACAACTGGAGGGAGACAAACAGCAAGCAAAACTAACACCGGACAAAATGAAACAAGAAATACAGACATTAATACTAACACTTAACAAGAAGGAGACAAGCAAATCCAAAGGAAAAATACTGAACGTGGGTTCAAGAAGACTCATGAAGACAAGACCAAAGAAGAAACAGATGGGGGATGAGTGAAGGAACTTCAGCTACTAATAACAAAAACAAAGCTATGAAGCAAAACAGGAATGAAATCATCCAAGATGGCACGGGAATTAAAAATAATAAGTAAATGGAATAAATAAATAAATAAATTAAAAATTAAAATCAAAGCTCCAAACACCTGGAAATCAAAACCCGAGCAGAAGCTGAGACTCAAATAAGTAAGTCATTCAAAACTAGAGATCACTGAGATGTTTAGATGCAAGTAGACGTGCGAGATATAAGAAGAAGCAGTTAAGTACAACAAAGGAGCGAAGCATTTACTAAGAAATGAATATCTTTTGAGACTTCGGTTGACATGAGTTAAGTAGCTTCTCTTTTGCTTGTCTGGGCCTTGGCAACTGTAATAACCAACTGTCTGGAATTGTTTGCATTATAAGTGAGTTGACTGTTGCCTAAAGCACCAGAACATAACAAATGTCTATTCACTCCCACACGGGTGTGAAATGATGACCAGGCTGTTCCTACAGTTAATTTAAACCAGACTTTAGCAAGTTTCTACAGTCTGTTCCAAGTTTTAAGATTATAGATCCATAGACAAAAAAAAAGCGTAAAAGCCACTGCAGCACATCCTTGTAGTCCAGAGTAAAAATGGCTGATCAGCAGGCATCCAGCTGATACAGCAGTCCTGTTCTCCTGCTCGCCACTTCGTACCGGTTCCTCTCCATTAGACTCTTATTATTCAATTTAACATTCAGTCTTGAATTACTTCCTTCTTCTCTCTTTAAGTCTGTGTCCACTTACTCTCTCCCTCCTCTTCCTCCAATCAGCTATTAACAAGCTTTTAGATAACTCTATCGGGCATCTATCTCTTCCACTCAAGGCTGAAAGTGTAGTCCCAACTTGTAAAGACAAATTGGACTCCCCTTCTCCTCTGAAGGGCCCCTAAAGCTAGTGGTTAGAATAAGAGATAAATTTAAGGCCAGTGCAATGATTGAGGGACGGTGATCCGGATGGAGGGAGAAAAAGAAAATGTTATCAGGATAGACTTGGAGCTTGAATCACTGAGACACGAACAGATGTTGTTTGCTTGGCAGGCAAATTCCAGAAATGTGTGCTGTCAGACTTCTACGCGTGCACTGTTATTCACTTTGCATGAGCTTAGCGATGACGTTTTGACTGTGACATGCATCATTTTAAAGGACTACAAGATGTAATTAATGATTTCATAAAGCGATTTGCTCAAAGCAAGTCCCAATGCAAGGTCTGAAACATGATAAATCACTGTGAGTTTGACACTTTCGTAATGGGGTTGCGGTGAGATTTGCTCATGCAAGCCCTTTACATTTCTAAAGCAAATTCATCAAAGCAAATGCATCTACGGCTCATACTTGCATGTCTTATATGGAAGGTTCACACTCTGAAAACGATCTAGTGATTAACTTAAAAAATGAAACTACTGAACAATCGAACAGAGCCAGGCAACCTCGATGCTGTGTAGCCATTACTCTCCTTTAACTAAAAACCCCCTTTGAGCTTCCAAATAACATGTCAGCAGCTTTTATTTGTGATGTTGTCATTTTGACTTGTCAGCTGTTTGTTTTGTTATGTAGATTTCCTTTTAATCTGCTTTGGCCTCCATCGTGAATGATGCTAATTCTTGCATCCAAGGAACAGGGTGGGATGAGATGGGAGTTGCTGCCACTCTGTGTCCTCACTGACGCAGATAGTTGCTTCATGTTTTCCTGGCAGTATAATCAAACACATAATTAATTTGATTTATACTACCTCTTCCGATGATAAACAGTGTAATCTACAACTGCACTGAAGCTTGAAGCCTCTTAGGTATACAACAATGCGCACGTGTGTTGCTTGGTTGTTGGAACAAAGTGGGAGCATTAGTTTTCTTCTCATCTCATCGCATCCAAATGCAGGTCTGATCCATCCCTGGTGTACATCTATAATTGCTTCATGTAAGACAGCTAATAAGGAGGTTAGTATCGATCCATCAGCTACTGTGGAAATGCAGAAAGTACGCTTGGAGAACCACGCTTGCCTCATCCCTAAAAT